ACCATCCAATTTTTGTCAAATTCCGAAGTGTTAACAACATCTATCCTACTGAGAACTTTTAGGATACATCTAAACTCTCTGTCCTTCCGGCTCCAATGACATGTATGGGGCATTTCATGATTCACTCCCAACTCCCCATGCTACCTTTATTGTTGTCTTCTATAATTTGTCCTTAAATGTTACGAATCAATGCGTTTTATTGTTGTGGAATTTATATACATAACACACTATTCTTATGTATTTACATATCTCACACCTAAACTTCCGTATTTACACACATAACACTTAAATTTTTAATATCACATAAAAAATTGCACTATTACCACTTTTTAAAAGTTAAATATTCATACATAAGTTTAAAGCATCATTTATATATGTAAACATGAAAGTTTAGGTGTGAGATGTATAAATACATAAGAATTGTGTGCTATGCATGCAAATTTCCCTTTTTTATTATGCTATATGGTATCTTCTCAATTTTTTGTTGCAACTTTGTGTTTTCTTTTTTGTATTGATGAAATGCAAGAAGGTAGTTACGTAATTATTAGAGATTTGTGATACATATGTATATATGATATGGTCGAATGTATGCTTCATGTATGATTGTGATGAAAAATATGGATATTATAAACAAAATTTAATTAAGTCATAAATATGCATATATTGTTCTTGTTGGTCTTTGTCTTGTATTTTTTTTATGTAGCAGTAATCTTTTTAGTTCAATACTGGATAATATTGATGTGGGTTTAGAATTTCTTAGATGCAACTAATACAATGATGATGCAAATATGTTATGTTGATTTATGAATTTATGACTTAGATGCAATATAATCTATTTTAATGCATTTTTACTATTGAAATTAAGTAGATTTTAAAGAAGTTTAGTCTTTTGCTCACCAAAAAAAAAAAAAAAAAGTTGGGGGCATTTACATACATACCACACAATTCTTATGTATTTGCATATCTGACACCCAAATGTTAATATTACATGCATTGCACTCAAATCTTTAATATCACATCAAAAATACTACTATCATCTACTTTTAAAAAGTTAAATACACATTTTCATGCATTGGTGTGTCACACCTAAGTGTTATTAATGTAAATATGAAAGTTTAGTTGTTAGATTTGTAAATATAAAAAAATTTTGTGGTGTGTATGTAAATTTTCCTAAAAGTTAATACTAGTGGTGAAACTCGTCGAGATGAAGAAATCCAAAGTTCGTATGAAAGCAGTGATAGGTATCTCTTACAATTAGAAAATTTAGCCGCAAATAGACCATGAAAACTTTTGCGCCTGTAAAGAATCATACAACAATGAAAGTACCCTAAAATATGCAAAATCTGAAAAATTCTAATGGCACAACTGAACCAAAAAAATGCTAATTACATAGAAGGTGATTGAAATATAGAAAATTACAAGTAAGGAATGCTCTTCTTCAAGTATCTGCTTGGGAAGAAAATAAATGTCACATCCAGGAAGGAAAACTTTATTTCTGTTGTTATTAACAACTTCTATTCATAATAGACTGGCCCCATTTATTATAAAAATTAAGGGAAATTTACATATCTCACACCTAAACTTTTATATTTGCATACATAGCCCTTTAGTGGTGCTTTAAAGAAATGAAAAAGATGTATTTATATTAAAGATTTGAGTGCTTTGTGTGTAAATATGAAAGTTTAGATGGTAGCCATGGAAATACATAAGAATTGTGGGCTTTGTATGTAAATGCCCCAAAATTAAGGGAAGTTTAAAAAAGAAAGCACAACACTTGAAAAAAATCTGATTTTCCTTTGTGTGCAATTGACTGCTTGACCTGATTTCTAAAATTTCTATTGTATTATTCATATCATTTTCTATATAATCCTCGTTATGAGATCAGTGGTTCTGATTGACACATTTGATGCATGGTTGTAAGATAAAATTGTAAATATATACCATATTGTTAGATCTATTTTCCATTGTAAGCTTTTGTAAATATAAGAAGTAAATTGAAAAAAATATATATTACAAATATATCTCAACAAAATTCTCATCTTGTTTTGTTCTCCATCATCATGCATTTGCAGGACTTTATTGTTGCAAATTGAACCACATGCCATTGGGACCTACGACAATATCTGATGCATTTGAATCTGTACTTGTTAATCAAATGTTAATGTGATAGAAAAGCTAGCTAGAAATAATTCTAATTAATTTTTTTTTTCTTTCATTAATTATTAGTTTCACTTGAACTTCTACTTTTTGTGAATTTTTAATATTTAACAATTTCCTAGAAACTATAAATAAGGCCGGGTCTTTCATATGGTTGGAAATATGATTTGCTTTTTTTTAAGGGAAATTTACATACTAGCACACAATTCTAATGTATTTACATTTCTTACACCTAAAGTTTCATTTTTACTTTTTTTTTCATGTTATGATATTAATGATCTGAGTGCTATGTGCGTAAATATGGAAGTTTAGGTGTGAGATATGTAAATACATAAGAATTTTGTGCTATGTATGTAAATGCCCCATTTTTTAATGCATATGATTGATCTTTTGCTCTAATGCTTGAAGCTTATCTCTTGGAATGAGTGCAAGAACCTTATTCCTTTGAGTGATTCCAAGATTTGGAGGTGAGATGTCACTAAGACCCTACATGGATTGATCCAAGAAATTTACCCTATTTGCATTCTCTTTTGTGCACCTTCTGCATTAAATTCATGGGGCATTTACATACATACCATCCAATTCCTATGTATTTACATATCTAACACCTAAACTTTACTTTTTACATTTATACCACCCAAATCTTTCATATCACATCAAAAGTACCACTATTAATAACTTTTAAAAAGTGAAATTGCTTAATTTCATGCATAAGTAAGGTGGCATAAATGTAAAACTTGAAGTTTAGGTGTTATATATGTAAATACAGAGGATTGAAGTAGAATGTATGTAAGGTGTTATATATTAGCTATGACCATTCACCTGAGTGTTTGGTCATCATATTGTAACTAAGCAGACCACATGATGCGGCAGATCCCCATAAGATTCTTTCCGCAATCCCTACTACAGTCCCGCGAATTGGACCAAATGCGGAAAAGCTTCTAGGGATGGCCTTCCTTGCATGGATTTGGCACCTCCTTTCAATAGTGGGCCCAATCTTTATTACATAGAGCTTATATATTTGATTCTTGTGTTTTGATTTTCAGTTCTTAGTGTATGTTTTCTGTTGGGATAGCTGTTGGCATCCTCTTTCTCCCTTTTTGGGTTGTATCCAAGGTTGTAGCTCGTCTGAGATGGTGGTCTCCTTCCGAGTGATTGAGTGGTGCTCCAATTGTAGCTCATTCTCGTGGAGGTGTTTATCTCTGGCTTTTCATCCTCCTCATTCCCCCTGCTGCCGCAGTCCTGGGCAGCCATCCCTTTGCTGCCTCGCAGTCCCACACATTCCCTGTTGCTTACGCTGGCATTCTTGCTTGTTGTCGCTTGGACTGCAGCATATCCTGCTGTCCCTGCAGTCCCGCTTGCTGCCCTTACTCCGGATAGTACTCATCTTGCTGTCTTGCAGTCCACAACTCTTCCCCTTCGCTGCTCCTCACCGTCCTAGCCCCTTGCTTTGTTGCCAACAAATTCCAATCCCTCCTTTTGCTTGTCCCAACCACCCACGAGCCATTTCATCCTCCTACCTCTGCTCCCAGACCACCTAGCTGAACTCAACCACCTATGGTTCAAGCCCTAGTGTGAGTTTGTTTTAATTTCCCTTTCAAGTGTGTTTGACTAAGTCGCCTATTTTCTTTCAGTAATAATATTTATTTTCCTATTTTGATTTGGGCTAACTCCGGTATCAACACATGCTCGAGTTTTTATCTGATCTGAGCAAGTGAAGTATTGATGCACCTATCCCCCAAGTTGGAAGCACACAAATTTGCATTAATTTAGTAGATTCTTACATAGTAAAAAAAGCTATTAATGATGAAGCACATTATGTTGTTTTTTTTTCCTTTAGTTTATTTAGTTTCTACTTCCTTTTATGAGTTTCTAATTTGATGCTCCTTTCGCTTTATAAGAGTCTCTCATGTAACTTCATGTATGAGAGAATCACAATTTTAGCATAATAAAGAAACTTCAATTTTCCTTTTGGGGAATTCCAAAAAGTTTACTTTGATATATAACAACAAAACTTTATTTCTTGTGATAGTTTCTAGAACCATTATGGTTGTTGCAAAAGAAAGATGATATTCATGATTAGCTTTATCCTAACTATTATAGTTGTTGCAAAAGGAAGATGATAAGTAGGTTATGAGGACATAATACAATAAGAAATACATTTATTTTTAAATCCTATACTTTTTCTACAATTTCACTTCTCAATCTAGCACTTTCCTATGATAACATATAGCTTTATGGATAGCTAACATTTGTTCTTGCAATTCTTTCATAATGCCTTTAGATTGATACACAATTCCTGTAAGACTATAAGAGAGAAACAAGTTACTAAAGGGTTGGTATGAACTACTTTTTCCAATAGATGAACTGGAAACCAATGGAGACAAGTCTTAATTGTCATCTTTGTCCTTTGAATAATTCCTTACCTTAATGGAAAACTCTGTTTTTTTGCAATTCTTCTTTGCTAGCAATTTGAGATTGTCTTATTCTATTTCTGGTTGGTTTTTGAAAGATTTGCAAACATACCAGTCATTCCTACATATTTACATATCTAACACCTATACATTAATTCATAACTATATACCACAAAACATATGCTTGGAAAGGTGTATTTCACTTTTTAAAAGTTAAAATTGTGGTATTTTTTATGTGATACAAAAGATTGGGACGGTATAAATATAAAAAAGTAAATTCGATGTTAGATATGCAAGTGAATAGGATTGGTTGATATTTATGTAAAAACTGAAATGATTTCGATTGAATTTTGCAAAAATGTTCTTATGCCATCAATCCTTTGGATTGACAAGCCAAATTCTAATAAAAATCCTTGGTTACAACAACAGGATCAGGCATCTCAAATTGACGGACAAGATGGGGAGAAGAACATGCAAAGCTTGGATAATCCGCAAAAGCCGAATATATCAGTGACGGTGTCAAACCCCGTCGATACCGATGGGAGTCCCGCTGCAACTCATGGAAGCATACCACAATCTGTTGACTCATTGCTTCAACTCGAGCTCAAGGACAAAGTCTCAAAGTCGAAGGACAACCAGCCTCGAAAGGCCACAGCCTCCCCTCAACGGAGGACGGTGAGAACCAGCCTTGGAAACGAACACAGTGCCGAGCACTCTCCTTTCCACCACCATCATCAAGCACGAATTTTGGACAAGGGTGGTAGCTTTGTGCCTTCTTGGGAAAGGAAGGTCTCTTCGGCATCGAACACTCCCGGAAGGTCCAGACTCAAAGCCGGCAGTCGAGCTGATGAATCCGTAATAATCATCCTTTTTTTATCTTTTTTGGCTAAAGTTTAGATGCACAAATGAATAAAAATTGAAAGAAATTAATGCCTGTTCAAATTCTCAAATCATTGATGCAAATTCATAATCAACCTAGATTGCCTATTTATCAATTCTTCCTATTTTCTTTCATCCAAACAGAGCTTTAGTCATTTTATGGTCTGCTTCAGTGCCAAAGAAATGTGAAGTAGGAATTTACATACATACGACCCCATTATTATGTATTTACATATCTAAGATCCAGATTTTACCTTTTACATTTATACCGCCCTATTCATTCATATCACATAAAAATACCAACATTTTAAATTTAAAATGGGAAATACACTTTTGCATGCATAGGTAAGGTGGTTATTATGTAAAAAATTGAAGTTTAGATGTTAGATATGTTAATACATAGGAATTGAGTGGTTTGTATGTGAATTTCCCTAACATAAATGTGGCATGATGCTTTGGTCTTATTTATTTCAAAGTATACTTGTGAAAAAAATGAACCATAAAGTAAAGGGGCATTTACATACATAGCACACAATTCTTATAGATTTACAGATCTCACACCAAAACTTTCATTTTTTCACACAAGGCAATTAATTCTTTCGTACCACATCAAAAATAGCACTAATTACCATTTTTTAATAGTCAAATCCACCTTTTCATGCATAGGTGAAGCACGGTGCGTGTAAATATGAAAGTTTAGGCATGAGATATGTAAATCCATAAGAATTGTGTGCTACGTATGTAAATTGTCTGAAGTAAAATAATTTCAGCTCATTAAATTTACTTCAAAAAAGCATTAAAATAGTTATTTTAACCATTAACTGACATTCTGATATTTCTGAGAGATTTAAATTCGTAAAATTGCATTCTCTGGCAGCCCGAGGAAGGCGCGGCGGTGCCGAAATTCGGCGAATGGGATGAGGACAATCCTTCCTCAGCTGATGGCTTTACAGGAATTTTCAACAAAGTGAGGGAGGAGAAGCAGACTAGTGCAACAAAAGTTCCAATGCTCACTGATGACTCTGTCTACCTCAATAATTTTCACCATCAGAAGGGAAGCAAGAGGTCTACAGTAAGTGTCTGCTAATTAGGAAGGTTTACATAAATACCCCTCAATTTCTATGTATTTACATAATTAACACCTAAACTTTGATTTTCACATTTATGCCACCTTACTTATGCATGGAAAAGTGTATTACATTTTGTAGGAGTTAAAATGACGGTGTTTTTGATGTGATATGAAAAGATTGGGTTGGTGTAAATGTTAAAAAGTAAAGTTTAGGTAATAATATGTTAACACATAGGAAGTGGGTGGTATGTATGTAAATGCCCCTGCTAATTAGGAAGATTTACAAGCATACCATTCGATTTCAATGCATTTACATATTTAAGACCTAAACCTCAATTTTTACATATATATGCCACCTTAAAGGTGCATTTCACTTTTTAAAAGTTTAAATGACGGTATTTTTTATGTGACATGAAAGATTTGGGGGGTATAAATGTAAAAAAGTAAAGCTTAGGTGTTAGATATGTAAAGACATTGGGTGGTATGTTTGGAAATGCCCTTGCTAATCAAGAAGATTTACATATCTAACAACTAAACGTCAATATTTACATATTCGCGACTTCACATTGCAGGAAAATGGTGTATTTCACTTTTTAAAAGTTAAAACGGTGGTACTTCTTATGTGATATGAAAGATTTGGGTGGTATAAATGTAGTAAGTAAAGTTTAGGTGTTAGACATGTAAATACATAGGAATTGGGTGGAATGTATGCAAATGCCCTTGCTTCTATGTATTCACATATTTAACACCTAAATTTTAATTTTTACATATATGCCACCTTATTTCACTTTTAAATAGTTAAAAGAGTGGTTTTTTTAATGTGAAATCAAAGATTGGGGTGATATAAATGTAAAAAAAGTGAAGTCAGATGTTAGATATCTAAATACATAGTGATTGGGTGGTATGCATGCAAATGCCACCACTAATTAGGAAGATTTACATACATACCCCTCAATCTCTATCTACATAACATCAATTTGTTTTACATATATGCCACCTGACTTCTTAAAAGCTAGAATAGTGGTATTTAATGTAATTTCATTATTTACAGATTTGGTGCTGCTTCAAGTGGGGAAAGAAGTGAGGTGATAAGGATGCTTGAGAGTACTGTAAAAGGCTTTTATTTGCTTGTAAATAGCATCAGGGAAGACTGCTTGTGAAGGTGTTTTTATGTATTTATGAAATTCATTCTTTTACTCTCTGCTTCATGCTAAAAAACTGCTACTTTATTCTTAATTTGTTTCTGCTAAAATTAATTCATCCAATTATTGGAAGAGATTTATAAGTGATTGTAATATTCTGTTTCTATTTTTTTTTTCATTTTTTTTTTTATTTTTATTTTTAAGCGATCGTAGCTCGATCAAGTTTCAGAGTTCGTGTTCGAGTTTGATGTGCTTCACGAGCTTTTTTGTTTATTGTGAAAAGAGAAGGATGTTAATTCAAAATCACATGGATGGCTAGTTTGTAAATTATAAATTGAAGTGACACGGAACAATGAGAAATTATTCCGTACGAACACCGCATGTAGAGATGCATACAGTGTCCGATCTCCACCGTCGATCAAAGTTTTTTTTTAAAAAAAAATTTGAAAGTGGAGCTCACTGAAATATATCTTTGTGATGATCGACGGTAGAGATCGGACATCGCATGCATCTCGGTGTACGTATGAAATAAATTTTTCCGGAAGAATACTATTATTTTGAAAAATTTAGATGGAAGATATTTTTAAAAATTATATTTTTTTATAAAGAATATTCCCTAAAAATCTAATCTTTTTAATGTGACAAAATTTCATTTCCTTTCAAATAAATTTTAATAATCATCTTTTCTAATAAATTTGTGCGAAATTAATAATTAAAAATTATTAATAAAATAATTTTATATTAATAGTATTTTTAAACTGAAGTATATTCTATTTTTTATTTTGTTCTAACTATGAACAAAGTTTATAATATCAATATGATCAAAAGATGATAAAATAGTGAAAAATATTACTTTGCATCTTACTTTGCTGAGGCATTGCTAGCATGAAAACAAACATAAAACAATTACCAAAATTTAAAGCTCCACGAGCCGATGAACGAAAGGACGGAAGTTCGCAACTGGTTAGGAGCTCGAGTTAGCATGTTGTGGTGTATACATAAATATGGTCATATACATAAAGATAGAATTTCTTTTATGTATTTTATATACGAAAACTAATACATTAAATCGGGCTCATTTATTAAAGCGGTTGAATCACGCCCACATGTCGAAGTAGTTGAGATTTATCTCTCCCGTGGAGGTGACCTAGCCTGCCTAGGAAGGGACAATTTTTAAGGCATATCATCATTTCTATCAAGGACGCATGTCCATCCTTCTTTGAAGACAATGTCTGACATTCATGTCACGATTTTTTAATCAAGATGTCATGGATGAGTGTCATACTGTACTAAGTGTATTTACTATTATTTTATTTATTTTTTTTTGTATAAAAAGAGAGTCAAAAAGTAAGGAGATGTTCTTAGATTTCTTTCAAATCTCTCTCTTTTTCTCTCTTTCTATCTCTCACTAACACTTTAATCCATAAAACCTTCTCCAAGCCATTTTTTTCGGCGGCTTGTCGGAGGTTTAAGTTAATACACAATCCCTATGATCTTCTCTTAAACCTCAGCACTATCTTTCTCTTTCTCTTGTACCTTTCTTCCATGAATATAAGAATTTTACCAAGTTATATGTGCTCACGAGTAATATGAAAACCTATGTCTTAAAATGACTCAACATGAGGCTTTCGTTCACTCCGTGATTTGAACATTCCCCCTACAACACAACATGAGAAGAACCAAGACAGAGGAGTGCCCTATCTGTGAACTATGAGCTGCGAGACAACATGGGCAATATGTTTTTTGAAAGGGGTCAAATGATAAAATTGCCACCATTGTGGGTGGGGGGCACACATGGATGGATATTTAATGGCTATGCTGAAAATATGAGTTTGATGTGATTAGATTAAGCCATGTTTTTCAAAATTTATATTCATTATTTAAAAAAAATTAAAATTAAATTTATGGATGACAAATTTATTAATTTTTATACACAAATATGACCATTTGGAGCTTTTGAAATAGGAGCAATTTAATGATATAGGTTTATGCTAAATTCAATTTCCCTATATGATGAAAATGTGAAGATTGTTTGGGAAGTTATTTAGATATTTCTTATTACTTTGGGTCCTCCATAAGTTTTGGAATATCAACTTTTGTTAAAGAACAAAAACTACATAAGCATCACATATTGACTTTTTATTGCTCGAGCTTTTATGATTAGGATCATTAAAATCTTTTTAACTCACATTGTAGAAAAGAAAATTCAATAATTTGTGGGCTAAGATCATTAAGTTGTCAAGAGGTTACATTGAATTGTGTCACTCTGATGGGTGTAAGAGACAATCATGATATATTATTATTAGTAAAAGAATCAATGAAAGACCATGCAATATAAATATATATTGACTAGGCTCTTGCAGATTAAGTCCAAATTTTGTAACTTGAAGGTACGTAACCAAATTCTATAATTCCCTTTCTTTCAAGTTATAATTGATTTTTTCTTTAAAAAAAAAATGCTCTAAATTTAAAGGAGTGTAACAAGTTTTTATCTTTTAAATGTCTCATAAGAAGCCTAACATTACATATGTGATATAAAATATTATAAATCTCTAGATAAATCCAAAATAATAGTAAATAAAAGACATGTGAGATGAAATAAAATCACAAAGTTCTCACCCAATTGATCTTCTACCACGCCCCTTAGTGCATTTTATGCCAATAGCATATACATATAAGTACATCCATTACTAAAAATTATGAAATACATCACTAGCTCTTAGTTTTTTTACAAAATTCCTAAGGAGCTTTACTTGACCTAACAATTTAATCCAAGCCATAATGATTTGTCAAATCAAACCAATCCTTAAAATGTTATGTGTGTGTGAGTAGTAATATTCTCTTAGTCAAATGGTGGCATATAGATGACAATGAGAATCATAAAGCTTAATTTTAAAAAATATGATAATATATCTCAATAATTAAGTTTCACAAGGAGAACAAATGAAGGAAAAATGATTTATTCTTTATAGAGTAATGAAAAGAGTTGACCTAGATGATATATATTTAATCCTTTGATATGAGCAAAATGATATAGGCGTTTATTACCATGTTAATATGGTAAGTTCAATAGTACATTATGCTCAAATGTGTAGTGTAAAGCTTAATTTTATATAAACTAACTCCAAACTTAATCTATAGAGATAGTTAGCAATCTAAGTTTTGTGTGTGGAAGTCAAAAAACCAACATTTTATGGGCTAATATATGTACATGTTAGACAATCTACCAACTACTAAGGTGACCATGACTATATTCGATGTAATTTAGGTCACATTAAATCAAATTGGAAGTTGTTCGATTTAACCGAAAGCTTTAGATTATGTTTGAGCATGTGTTTCTAGCCAACTTAAGCTTAAAAGAACTGCAATTATTGATCAAAAGTAAGTGATATTTTTATTTAATAAATTTTTGATATTAGATTTTTTCTATAATTTGCATGTTTTAACTTTCATTTTGTATATAACATATATATAATGCTTTACAAAAATGAATATATATTTGGTTAAAATTGAAGTTTAATTAATATCTATCAAACTCAAAATAATCTAAATCAATTAAACATTGATGATTTATGTTTATGTTAAATTTTATATTAATTTAAAATTAAATTAACAATTTTCATGATTAATTGATTAATTAATCAATATAAATTACATGAATTAAAGCTTAACTCCAATTGGATACTTTTTTAATCTTCAAACAAAATAACTTGAAAGTTTCAAATTAGTCCTAATTCGCACACCAATTGGAGTTAAACTTTAATTTATGTAATTTTAGGACTAAATTAAAACTCGTTAAGTTACCTTAGGTTGAAAGACAAATCTCTCATCCACTAGGCTAAGGAGGCTTGCATAGACTAAGTTTGGCTGAGCTTGACTTAACCTTAAAATTGATTGGTTTTTAGACTAATAAGCATGTCATAAAAGTATCACTGGACTTGGTCAATCAACTTATATTGGTTGTAGGTCATTTGAGACAAATGCTTAAATTAACTCAAGGCATACATAGTAGTAGGCTTAGGTCCTATTAAAAAATTAGATCAAGTCAGACTTAGTTAAAGTAGGGGTTCAATATGGGGTTTAACAAAGTTTCCAAATTGCCAATTAAAATACAAAATTTACTGTGCTTTTATCAATCCATAACATATACTTATTTCACTAGTGCTAAACAAAAATAAATTAAATTTTGGTCAATCTTGATTAAGCGTATTTGGTATCTAAGCAAGAGAACCAAGTCTTTTATATGAATAGTAAGATCATATCTAGATCAACTAGTGCATTTAATACCAAGATTAGTACACACCACATAAATTTGGTTACCAAATAAGTTATATCAAAAGTAATGTTAACAAGTACCATTATTGAAAAGAAGAAAGAGGAGTTTGTCAAAATTCTTACCATTGATGAAGGGATAATTAAGGCAACCTTAATTCCCAAATCATTTAATTCTTAATAAACAACATATATATGTCTTTACATGGGATTTCTTTGAGAAGTTGGGGAAGATCTCGCCATCACTAGCCACAACGTCCGACATCATTGCAACAAACAAACCACCAAGTAGAATAAAATATTGCTCTCAAATGAGAATAAAGAAATAATCAAAATAGAGGTTGAGATGCTCTTGAAAGCCAACTTCAATTGGGAAGTGCATTCTCTTGAGTAAACTTTCAATATTGTTATAGTTATACCTACATAGATTTGACAAACTATCCATCCAAACAGATAAATCTTATTGGACATATCTCTCAAGTGTTTCAAGTACACAAAATCTTCCTACAATCACTCATATCTAAGTGGACCAAATGGGCTTGAACATTTGCTCTACACTCAAAATGAATATTCTATATCTCAAATGAGCCAATTCTATTTGGACATTCTCTTTAATCTTGTGAGCAAATTCCACTTGAGTGAATTGTACCCTTTTAATGGATCAAATCCACTAGGAGTTTTTGTGCATGAGCAAATCACATTTGTTCAAAGCATTATTCATGTCCTTGCACTTTAAATACTTAAATTTTGTTGAGGTAACTAGAATTTCTTTTCTAAGTGTTTGGATCATTTCTAAACACTAGAAAATAGTTGAGTGGTTGATGAAATTCATCCAATCATTTAACCCTGGGATTGAATAGCATGCATTTTGCAGATCAAATGTGAATCAATACTTCTAACTAGCTAGTGGGTCAAGTTCTTAGACTTAAGATTGAATTATTGTTTTCAATTAATATATATCATAATCAATGTTTGCTCATTTTAAGACAATAATCAACATGTCATAATCAAATCACATGTCATTGATTAAGAGATCCCAATAATCTAAAAACATGATACATTAACAAGTTTAAATAAATAAATAAATAATTGAATATATTTAGACCATATATGAGACCACCTGTTTCAAAAGTAAAACTTTTGCAGAATTATTTAAAATTTATATATATAATTATGTAAATTGTTCAAATATATTTCCAAATTATTAAAAAAACTTATTCAAAGACTATTTTTTCAAAATCAATAAGAAAAGGTGCAGGTCATACTCTAATTAAGACTTAGAGATAAAATCAAACATTGTAGGACTAGTGCCACACAGATGGAATGACCCCAATGACCCATTCAATTTGCACAAATTAAGATTTTATGATATACAAAAACTTTAAATTTTGAACTAATTATACTTATGTGCACTAATTTAGAGAAATGCATAAATTATTTAAGTGGAATATAAATGCTTAATATTTAAATACTAATTTTAAAATGGGAATTTTTATTAACATGAATGATTTCTAACAGCAACAATAACAAAACATTTATCTCACTAATTGGGGTCGGCTACATGAATCATTTTTTTTCCATTGAGTCCTATTTAGTGTCATATTTCATTTAATTCTAATAAATTAAGATTTTTTTTTATACAATATGCCCAAGTCATCCTAGATCTACCTCAGCCTTTCTTAATATAAGTTGAATCTAAAACATCTAATCTTCTAATTGGATCATCAGATGGTTGATGTTAATGTGACCAACCATCTAAGATGACTCTCTCTAATTTTGCCCATCACTAGAGCTACACCGACCCTATCACAGATATATTAATTTCGCATTTTGCCTCTAAGCGCAAAGCCACTCATCCACCTAATCATTCTCATCTTGGCAACACTTAACGTAGTTTTATGCTTCCTTCTAAAGGCCAACACTTAGCGCCATAGAGCATTGCAGGTCTCACCACCATCTTATAAAATTTTATTTTCAGTCTAAGCGATACTTTTCTATCACATAATACGCCCGAAGCATTCCTCCACTTCAACCAACCAGCTTGAATTCTACTAATAACATCCCCATCAACACCACCATCACTTTAAACGATAGACTCTAGATATCTAAAGCATTCACACATTTTAATAATTTGATCACCCATAGTTACATTTCTGTCACTATAGATACTACTACTAAAATTGCATTCTATGTATTCAGTTATAGTTCTACTCAAACGAAGGCATTTATAGACTCTAACGTAAACCTCCATAATTCAAGTTTTCCCTGAGCTTTTTCTCTCGTATATCCACGAGAAGGATATCATCAGCAAAAACCAACACCAAAGTACATCCTCCTGTAAATGTCCAGTAAGACCATCTATAACTAAAGCAAAAAGATATGGGCTTAAAGTCAATCTCTGATGTAAACCAACATAAATAGGAAATTATTTGGTCAATACTCCTCTTCGAACACAGGTACCGGTTCTTGTATAGATATCTTTAATGACTTGAATATAAGTCATATCAACACATTTCTTCTCAAGAACTCTCTTAAGGATATCTCTTAAGGATATCTTCTCTTAAGGATATCTCTTGGAATCCTACCGTAAGCTTTTTCTAAATCATTGCTGTAACTACTTTATATTCTCTCCAATTTACTCATGCAATAGAATGTGTTAATTCAGTTATATGCAAGATCTCACAAAAATTCAAATTATGCAAATTAATCAACCCCGTTTTTTCTTTTAGGGGGCATTTACATATATGCCACTCAACTCATGTATTGACATATCTAACCCCCCAAAACTTTGTTTTTTGTTCACATTTCTACCAACCAAATCATTATATCACATCAAATACCCCACTAACATAATTTTTGCAAACAAACCTTTTTCATGCTTATGTAAAGTGGGATGTATATAGATGCAAAAATTGAAGTTTAGGTATTATAGATATGTAAGTACATGGGGTATTGAGTGGCATGCATGTAAATCTTCTTTTCTTTGGAGCATTTACATACATACCACATCTAATCTTTGCTTTTTAACATTTCTAACAAATCAAAATCATCTAAATTTCTTTCAACATCTTTATATTTGACAAATTCTCATCATTCTTCAACATTAAACTTATTAGCACAAATCCATTATAACACTAATTTTCACTGCACTTAATCCAACAATTAATCACATTTATTTCTCAAATCTCAAATCTACTACATAGTTGGCTACCAAAATCAAATATTCATGAAAAGGATAAGCAACAAGCAGAATTCCAAAACATAGAAAATGACATTAGCAGCAAAAATAAATTGCAGAACAGAACATTTGACGTATTATATTACCGGATGAGTTTCCTCCAGACAGTTCGCCCTCTGTTTATTTCCAGGCCGGTGCCTGAAAGTCTCAAGAAGTGCAGGAAATGGAGATGACCGCTCCCATGGCTATGTTGGTGCTTGGACGGGTGGCCATTGATGCTCTTTGAAAGTAGGATTTCTTCTGAGTTTGAGCTGGTGAGTGAGTCGACCACGTCGTCGTGCTGGCATTCGCGTCGGTAATCCAAGGTGATGGTTTGGAGTTCGTGCGTGTCAATGATTTCTTGGGGCATGCTCTGGGAACATATATTGGAAGATGGTAAGAACAACTTTTACAAGAAAGATGAAGATGAGTAAAAAGAAAATGTCAAAATAGTCACGTGATGTTTTTGCAGAGGTGCTGTTTTAACCTTAAGAGTCTATAAATATGTCAGTTTTAGTCCCCAAATCACTAAGATTTGCATACATACCACTCAGTTCCTATGTATTTACATATCTTACACCTAAACATCATGTTTTTTAGGTATATGCCGTCTTATCTATGCATGAAAATGTATATTTCACTTTTTAAAAGTCAAAATAGTGATATATTTTAAGTGATATGAAACATTTAGATGGCATAAATGTAAAAAAAGAATAGTTTAGGTGTTAAAAATGTAAATAAATAGTAGCTGCGTGGTATGTAGGCAAATGCCCCATTTTTTAATAAAAGATTTACGTACATATCACTCAATTCTTATGTATTTACATATCTAACAGCTAAACTTCAATTTTTAGATCAATGCCACCTTGCATGTGCTTGGAAAGGGGTATTTCACGTTTTATAAGTATTAAAAAAAATGTATTTTTGATGTTATATGAAAGATTTGGGTGGTATAAATATAAAAACTATAATTATTAAGTATGGAAATACATAGGAATTGCGTGGTATGTAGGTGAATGCCCCATTTATTAATGGAATAGTTACACACGCAGCACCCAAACTTTTATGTATTTACCTATCACACACCAAAACTTCAATTTTTACCGATAAAACACCTTACCTATATATAAAAAGGTGTATTTCACAGTTCCCGCAGTGAGAAAAGGATAAGTTAGGTGTTGCACCCGTAAAAATTGAAGTTTAGGTGCGTGTAGGTAAATACATAAAGTTTAGGTGCTGCGTAGGTAAACTCCCCTTATTTAAAATGGGTTTAGATAGTCTTCAAACTCTTTAAAGGGAAGGCTAATTTAACCCCCACTAAGATAAAAATAAGTGATTAATTTCACACTTCCATAGATATAAAAATTGAAGTTTAGGAGGTAGATATGTAAATACATAGGAATTGGCCCCTTTTTTTAATATAACCCCATTAAAATAAAATCAAGCGACTGATTTCACACTTTTTGATTATGGGATTAAAATGACTCAATGTAAACAGTCAAAGGAAATCATTTTGGCATTTTACTTGATGAGTAAATCAGGGTTTAGTGTGTTGCCTTACCTCAAGGACCCAGCCAATATAGGTGACGTTGTTTACATGTTGATTCATGTCTAAATCTGCTCTTCTGGGCTGTTAGTTTTCATAATAAACAAGTTTGAAATTACTAGCCATGAATTCTGCTAAGAAGAATTATGAAAGAGTTGCTTCTGAATGGCTTACCACCAGTCCAAGCCGTGAATAATCCGTCGGATCTTCAAGCTTGGCAATTTTCTTCAGACTATCGTTTTCCTCCTCTGGAAATGCAAATCTGGAGGTGTTTCAAAGATTTATTTTCATAAGTTTATAGGAATAAGTATGCATTGGTAAGTGTAGATAAAGAAGTGGCGAAGAAAGCTTGGATTGTTCAACCTTTCAATAGGGGCGCGCATAGATATATACATACATATAATATATATAACGGTGACTCCCTATGTGTTAATATAAAGAAAAGATACAACCCACACCAAAACAAAGCGCAAAAAATATAAGTATACCCAAGCTAAAAAATAAAATCCAAAACAAGTACATATATATATATATATATATATATATATATATGGTGTCTCCCCAAAAACACTACAAAGAAAAAAAATTATAATAAGTTAATACCAAAATAAGGCCCCTAGCTATATATTATTTTTTTTATTTTTTATTTTTTTTGCAAGAAAGAACAACGGTGGCTCCCTACGTGTTAATATAAAGAAAATGTACAAAAATAAGGGAGGGGAGGAGGATCCCTGTCTAAAAATCCAAAAAATACATTTAACTCAACCCTAGGGGTTACTCGTCCCACAGTACAACCCACACCAAAACAAAGCCCAAAAAATACAAGTATACCCAAGCCAAAAAACAAAATCCAAAACAAGTATACATGTGCAAGTGTGGAAAGCACAAAAAGAAAAAAAAATTATAATAAGTTAATACCAAAAACAAGGCCCCTAGCTACTAATGATTGATCATTCTAATACAAACATAAACTTAACAAAAATCTACAAATGCTAATTGTCCGATATAGAAATTTTGAGTAAAAGGTTTGAGCATGTTTTGAAGTTAGCGTCATTGAAAACTTGCAAATTACTATGAATTGAAGTTTTATGTTTTAGATCTTTGTGAAGCATTTGCAAAATATATTGTCATAATAACATTCTAACTTATTTTGTTCTATGATTCCTAAAAGGTGTTTTAAGAGGGGGGTTTGAGAGGGAGGTGGTTGTGGAACAACAAGGGAATGAGAGTTTGCAAGGTCAACAACATTTAGAAGGGTATAAGAGGCGTTTGGCGAGGGAGATCCACCACTGTTCCTGAACAAGCTACAGGCACACCACTTGTAAAAAGAAGACAATACAACACTACTAGAGAAGCAAAACAAAAAAATAAATCTCCAAATACACAAAACCAAAGCAAAAGTACTAAAACAAGAAAATAATAACATATAAACAGTTCTCATGCAAAATAAAATTTATTCTAGTTAAAATAATATTAGAAAAATGACTTACAATGAACTGGCAACTACGACAGACAGAAAAAGTCCCACTACAATGTAATTAGAACATAATCCCCACCCATCCCATCCCACCATCACGGTAGAACAAGGAATCTAGCTTTCAAATTCAGCTTGAACATCGTTCTATGTTCCACAATCACATCCCGCTTCATTCTCCACAGGCAGGAGTTTCATCTTCTGCACTAGGAGCTTCTGGAATCGATCTAACATTGCCATATAAAAGTCATTACATGCTTTGGTTCAAAGTTCATGTTCATGTGCACCCAAGGCAACTCTAAAACACGTACGTCATTCTAAAGACTATTCTGATACAATAAATAGTTATCATACTAGGCACAACCATAGTTGAACTACATATGAGCTAATATTCTCAGGAACTGAGCTAATATTCTCAGGAACCAAGTCTCTAGTCATTAAGTCATTAATGCTCAATACATTAATTTAAGCATTAATTTCATTCCAAATATATAAAGAACTTCTTAAAGTGCATGATATTATATTTATTTTGATTAATACATTTTCAAAAAATGAACGTTATACCTTGCTCCAAAACGTTTGTCACTTTCACATACAAAAAGTAAAGTTGACCTGTTTTTTTAAATAAATTGTTAGATTGAATGAATTATATAGCTCAACTGTTTTTATCATTTGACAAGAAGAAAAAGTCTTTGAAAGAAATGAAATATACAAAAAAAAAATGTAAAACACACATGTTGGCTCCAAAAATTTCGACTCCCAAAAGCCTGCATTTTCTTTTCTTTTTTTTAGAAGGTTTCGAGGATCAAAGTTTTGGAAGGCAGATGGAATGGTAGATAAGCCACTACCCAGAGATTTAGTCATCATTTTGTGAGAACTTTTTGATATGTGGTCAGAGGTTTCTCATAAGCGCAAACCCCTATGGTTAATTACCCCTCCCAATAATAGAAGAGCAAATTCGATTAAGGCTGGACATTTAACACTAAATAATCAACATATAATAGCAGTAGAAATATATTTTAAATTATAAAATCTATCACTTGAAGCTTAATGCGGATGGTGGGGAAATGATGACGAACCCGATCAAGATCACATGGTTCTATCTTTTTGGGTTGTCATGATCCCTGATCTTCTTAAACAGAAGAGGTAATCAAACCAACTTGACTGAAAGATCCTTATCAGCAACCACGGGATGCGTCGTCTCAGGGATCCTTGTAGACTTGGATAGATGTTTGTTTAAAGGAACAAATTTAATTCAACCTTAACTGATAAAAGGATTTGTGTAAATCAATTATACCTTTATGATTCACAAACTCAAATAGTAGAAAATCATTGAGAAACATATGGGTTGTAGCCATGGCCACGATATAATGGTGTTATTTGATGGCAACCACTGATCAAAAGGCTTTGGTCATAACAACTACTTTGTGGTGTCATTTGACAGCAATACCACGCTGACAAAGGACCCGAGTCACTCTCATACTAACGTGAAATTACTTTGGTGTCAAATAATGGTACACTCGATGTGAGCTTCGCTCCTTGTGAACTGAAATCACTCAGAAATTTATCACCCCCGACAAACCATTGCAGAGAGTGGATAGGGTTCGCTTAAAAATCCAAGTGATCAATTTTAACTTGAGTGTTAACTTGAAAACTTAGATTTTGCTTTGAAATTAACCCCTCCGATTGAGATTTTTAATCAACATTATCATTATCAAGGATTTAAACATTTAAATATTTTATATTTCAGGTCATTTGAGTATATTGGTTTAGACTATTTAGGAAATAAGTTCCGTCAAGTCCTGTCATTATAAGGAAGTTTAAATTAGGTGATTTGGACTTCTAAATTCTTATATTAAGATTGATATATTTTAATTCGAATTACTAAACTCTTCAACTCCAATTTTTGTGAGAAGGGTCAGACTAATTGGGTGTGACTTACAACCTTGCCATTTAACACGGAGACACGATTAACTATTCAAAATATTAACCATTTGAATATAAATTTGGCCTTAACAAATGCAACATTCCTAATTTATTCGTTAAAACATTTAATATTTTACCTGAAGCCCATGCAGGTGTATTTTGTTAATGTGCATACAACTTGATGTTGTTGTTTAATGTGATTGCATGAATTTTGGGACACTTACAAAATGTGATTACATAATTTATTTTCTTATAATGTATAATTTAATATTTTGACATGAATACAAGAATTATCAAGTAATTAAAAGTCTTTTAAGATAATACATTGAAGTTAAAAGATATCTTAGAATGACATTATCTCAAAAATCATCCAAACTCATTAGCTACATAAATATCTTTATTGTATGGATGCATGTACCTAGTATGAATGCAAAATTGATAGCCAAAATTTTTATTTTTTAAAACACAACAAACACTAGAGTCAGGGAACAAAAATATGCATTTAACCTGAGGTCTTAAAAAATGCAATGAGCTTTCAATTTACCTGTAAAATGTGTCAAATCGCAAGCAAGCATTTTCCTGACCAGTACTTTACTTTTCCCAAACGATACTTAATTCCCAAAGAAGTGTACTTGCATTTCCCAAGATGGGTATTTTAAAACCGCTGATCTTATAAAATTTTTCAAATGAGATCCCGTACGTTACTTAATTCCCAATGACAGAAACTTGCACTTCCTCGAAAGAACATTTTAAAAATTTATCCTATTGCCCAATTTTATACCTTTTAAAGCAAAACTCAATGATGGCAACGTAATAGGCGATTGACGAAGGGACAACAAAATAAAATATAGATCTTTTCTTTTTCTGATTTTTTTTCTTTTCCTTTGTTTATACAATATGAATGTAAGAAAAACACTAATACTAAGGGTTGGAGCACAAAGGAGCATGTGAAACACTTCGAAAGTGGCTCGGTTGCAAAGCATAGAAAGGGAGGCAGTGCAGTTTGGGCGATGCGGCGAGGGCTTCGATGGTGCAACATAGGAGGTCAGGTTGAAGCTCGAATAATAAGAAAGAGTGGAAAGCGATCGAGAGGAGGACCAATAAAGAAGGTAAGGGCTTCCGTTGTTTGCTTCAATCCTTAAGAAGTTGGGAGCGCCTCAGTTCTACATGCGCTTTCGAATTGGAGAAAGAAGATGAAGCGAAGAGAGGAAAAGCTAAGGATTTCACTACAGGGAGTTTCAAAAGACTCTGAATACTGTGATCCTGTCGTTGGAACAAGAAAGCAGGAGTAGTGGAGGATCGACTATCTCTATTCAAACAGGTAAGGCAGAGACAAGGTTGTGAGATTGTGAGATTTGTGCGTGACGAAAGAAAGAGGAGGCAGGGCTTTGTGTCGGGGTCGTAAACCTTCTATGCACAAGAGAGAAGGTATGTGATGGTTAGGTCAGGATCATGCGGCTTTGTTCAGAGATTGAACGAAGTAATGAAGATTCATCGATTTGTTACGTGCGAAACGAAGGGACTAGAATGACAAATGCAAGAACGGCTTCGGCTCTGTCGTGCGGGTTTCGAACAGGAGAAGAGAATGAAGTGAAGGGAGAACAATGTACAGAAAGGATCCTTTGGCCTCGAGAGGAATACATGAGAAGAGGGATTTGCAGACAAAAATGAAAATTGTTTACTATATGATTTTTCTGTGACCAAAAGGGAGGGAGGAGTTACGAGAGTCTGTCATAGATTTTACAATTCAAACAGGAGAAATTACGCGAACATTTATGAGTCTGTTAGAGCTGGAAGTAGGTTGAGTTTTTAACTTAATTTACGTTATTTATTTATTTATATTTATTTAAACAGTCAACAAC